GTTATAGACTCATAACCTCGTCCATAACACCACTAGTTATGTTATGAATTCATAACCTAGTGTATAACACCACTAGTTGTGTTATGAGTCTCATGACGCAACTCAAATACTAGAAAAATGGTTATGTAAAAACGTCATAACCAAACGCTTGTAGATAAATAAATGAGTCTATTGATGAACACTAATATTATTTGTGAAAATCTATTACCATTGTGCTTATAATATTATCATTATTAGTCAACGACTTCGTTGAAAAAAATAAAACTTAAAGTTTTTTGACGTTCTTTCTCTTTACAATTGTGCTACAAACCAAAGAAATAAAACTTAATAATAAATTAGGCGTGAATCAAGCGATGAAGAAATAGAAGTTTGGGTGAGAAGACCACGAACTTTCAAAGAACGAACTCCCTGTTTATACATGGAAGAAACTTGCGAGTTTAATGTAAGATTTAGGTTCTCAACAGAAAAATTTGATTTCATTCTTGCCAGAATTGAGCATCGTTGGTTGTATGCTACTAGAAGAAATCATGCCTTAACACCAAAACAACAGCTTATGGTAGCACTTTATTGGTTGGGCATAGTGGCATGCAATATTACTGTGCCGGAGACATGCATGGTGTCTCAAAAACGACAATGTGCAGAGGTGTCCACAACTTAGGGAAACTGTTTGTTGGTCAAACGATGTTGGAACGGATATTCACGAATTCAGAGTTATTATTGCTGGTATGCCATTGGTGTGAGGAGCAGTTGATGCATTTGTCGACCGCCACGAAAATAATTCCCTAAACATTAGGCTTGTATGTGGTCCATCCGTAAAATTTTATTATGTTTGTGCTAATTGACAAAATAGCTTGTTATGTGAAAGAATGGACGAGATGATGATGACCGTTTCATGGCAGGGTTTTGCTTGGAAATTCTATGTATCCCCTCAAGCCATGACTGACAATGTCAATTTTCAACTTCAAAAAAAAAACGCGACACTAATGTGGTAATATTATTAGTGTTTGGATTTTATGAGTAGCAATGAAGTATTTATGAAACAGAAAAAGCTAAGCTAATAATTTTGTTTCATTAGACTAATATTATTAGCTAATAATATTAGGCAGTTAACAGGCTCCACAGGAGCTTTGATTATGCTCACTTTATCAGATAGAAACAAATTCTCTAGCAAATTTCCAACAAGCAAAAAGTTGTCACAATCTTTTTTTGATAATAAGAATACAATTTCTTGTGAGAGAACTCTGGATAATGGTCGACATCCCTAATATTTAAATAACATAGTTTGTCGTTTTTTCCTTTTCCTCCCCACGATACACAGAGGCTACAGGCTATATCCATTAGATTGAAACTTCTTTTAAAAGATTTTTCAACGTAAAATTCGTATTCCTGTACTTTACAGCCCAATAGGAACGATACCAGTGAAACATTTTTACCTATGTTTGAGTAATACACGTGATTTTATGATAGAAATTCTAGAAAACTATGAAATAGTTTGCCATTTTACCTTGCTAGAATTATTTATTTATTTATTTACTCAATCAGTACGCACTACAGAATAACAATAAGTTTTCTAAATGGTAGATACATGAAAATATGGTTAAAAACGTTGATGTCTGGTTCGTCTAATGGGGACCAAAAATAATATTGATTCCAATAATGTGCTGCAAGCTATCCAATTATTCAGGATTTTGTAAAGAATAATGAGTAGGGCGTGTTTCCGTCTCTGCTCTAGGCTCATCATCCCACACTGCAACAGTCTGGTTTCATAAGATATTCCAGATGAAGGAAAGCGGTGTTTATATAGTAAGTATTTCACAAACCTGTTTTGGACGTTCTCTAGTCTATTGACATGGATGGTATAATGTGGGGACCAGATGTCGGTAGTATTCAATAGTGCTACGTACAAGGGCGTTGTGAAGACATGTAAGTGCCTTTGTGTCGTTGATGTATTATTTGGTGTTTCGCTTAATGAAGCCAAGCAATCTGCAGCTTTTGACAACAATATTATCGATGTGCATTTTGAATATCAGTTTTTAATCGAACGTTACTTCAAGGTCGTTGATGAATTCCACATTATCAATTTGTTGACCACCAATCTTATATGTTGACATGTGAGGAATACTCTTGTGGAATGTTATTGATTTGCATTGGATATGTTGATTTTCAGTAGGTTTGAGGAACACCAAGAAGCAAATCTGTGGAGATCTGGTTGCAGTGGGGTGGAAACTTCATTCGTAACATTATAAAATTTCAGGTGATCAGCATACAGGAGAAAGTGCGAGGAATGGAAGCAAAAGGAAACATCGTTGATAAACAACAGGAAAAGAGCAGGTCCCATGTGTGATCCTTGGGGAACACCCGAGGAGACCTTGACGTTTTTTGAGGAGTAGCCACACACTTCACTTCGCTAGATCTGTGTAAATGGAGTCGACCTTGTGTCCAGCCTCAACGGAGGTTATTAGGAAGTTCTGATAGACTGCTAGGTTGGATGCAGTTGAACGCTTGCTAAAGAATCCCTGTTGTTCTGGTATAAGGTAAAGTCTAAAGGTTCCGAATATTTCCTCGGTTAAGATTGATTCGAATAGTTTTGGGATAGCAGAAAGTATCGATATTCCACGGTAGTTCTCAACATCGCACCCATCCCTAGACTTGAAAATGGGAAGAAGGAGGGAAAAAGCCTCAATCCAATCCACAATCATCTTTAGTAGATATTATGTTGAAAATCAATTTCAACTTTCTTCGTTATTGGGTTTTCAATTTCTAATCGAGCAAATTTAAAAAAATATCCATATTCCAAGTCATGAACTTAAAAATAATAATTGAATGCGCAATCAATTATTGTTCGCAAGCCCATGAAGAGACTACCTTCTCGTTAACCGCAAACCGTTCGACCGCCTTTTTTAACATACAAATTAACTTGAACTTTACTAGTTCTACCGCTGGAAATAATTCTGGCGGATTTTGCAATTTGGATGTGAAGTGATGTTGTGCATGAGAAGAAGGTAAGCGAACAGAATCGAACCAGTTTTTCTCATGTAAGCTCCCTTTCCATTTTTTTGAAAACTTAAAGATTTTGAATCAAGCACACAAAGTTAAATAAAGTTATGCTACTTGGAGTCTGTTTAATAGATATTTGAATGGCTCATATCGAATATCCATCCCCTTGCGATAGTTCAAATACATCCCCCAAAAATATTCGAAGAATTATATATGTAGGTGCATACATAATTGGGATACCTATTCCAGGAAAATCGAAATCATGACGTAACAGGTAAAGCTTTTGTCCTCAAAATAGACATACAGTTCACTGCAAAGCAGTTGAACAAAGAGTACAAAGACCATTACAATACCTATTCCACAAATAATATTCATTAGGTATTTTGAACAGAACAAAGTTCACAAACAAGGGTGGTTGATGGAATGTGGCCGAATCTAATTTTTGTGAAGTGAATATAACATAATTAAATAATAAAAAGGTGCATTTATACTTTTACGAGAGTACTTACAAAAAATGAAGGGAATATTTGAGGGATGTAGACGGTGGTGGTCCAATTTGGACACATCAATAGAAAACATCAATTTCTGAGCGAGATTTGAAAAAAGTACCCCCCCCCCCCCCCGCCCCCCACTCTAAGGCTCAAATTTCATGAAATCTTCATTGGTGCATACCACATTTTGATATCTTCAACCGTTTTGCGAGTAGACGTTTCTCGATTTTGAGCAATACTGTGAAACCTTATAACTTTTTTGTTTATGAAAATAATTGGACCATCCTGTACATAGAATATATTGCATCAATACCAGTGAAATTCCAATCACGAGGTATTTCCCAGGAATGTCTAAGAATCATTAATAGCACATTGGTGAAATAGATATCTCAGAAGATTCCAGTGTTTGTGTTGATGGGAATTGATACTATTGACAAGTAAAAGTTTATCTACCAATGAACCACTTTATGGACGCAAACTATGGAGTACAAGTTCATAATGAAATTCTACGGGACTTTTATTTTACAGTGTAAAATATTAATTTAAAATATTTCCATCACAAAAAGAAGCCATCCTAATAAAATCTTTTATGTTGTCCTTTCATATTATAATGGCTTTATTATTCGCAAGCTCACTCAACTCATATTATAAAATAAAATGTACACACACAAATAGCTAATATCGTCGGTCTCATGACATAAGGCCCTATCTCGAGAATCGAGATAGAGCCAAAATGAGTTAAGTTCATAGATATGTTGTATTTAGTGTATACTTGTTCTTAGCCAAGGGTCTTATCTTGAAATCAGGTCATTTCGGTAAAAAAGTGAGAAAACACATGGCCTTATCTTGAAATATGATTAGTTTTATCACAGCATAAAGGCGAATATTGAGACACAAATGTTAACTACCATTTTGAAATGTGGTATCTGACAAAAAATTTACATAAGTCGTTGTTAATAATTCCAAAAAAAGAAACCAAAAATCAGTATAGTTCTTTGTATATTATATTGGCGTAAAGTTGATGTCATTGGCGTAAAGATATTAGTTTTCTCTTAATTGCTCCCCTGAAAACTTGTAAAAAACGAGATAGGGCCTTATGTCCTGAGACCGACGATATGACATACCTACCTAGATACTTATTTCATAAAACTATTTCATTTTGAGTGCAAAATCCAGCTTTTCAATAAGTTCTTCCTTTATTGGCCTCATTAGAAAGAAAATCGCTCAAGTGTAATTTTCCAAAATTGTATTGCGACTTTAACAGGCGCATAGCGCAGGAATCCCGAGTAGGAAAACTTTTAGCGAAGGAACTTTTATTCAAATAAACTGTTTTAATTAATCAATTAATTGAATTGAAATAACAGGTTGTTTTTTTTGCCAAACAGTTTAATTTAAATGAACACGTCAACGATGCTGGTAAAAGTGCAAAATAAAATTCTTACAAAAGCTTGCTTTCTCAAAAACTATGTAAAAATTGTTTTGTGAATAAAAAGACAATTTTTCTTGTATTACCTGATCCCAAAGCTAATTTCGAATCTGCAAAAATCAGCTGAAACGTCCAAAAAGTAACCAGCGGTAACATAATCCACCTGACGTGGTGGTGGCGATTTTCCAACCACCCCATTTTCCAAAAAAAAAAAGTTTTTCAAAACGCTTATATTTTACACTATTTACAAGTAATCATAGGAATAGTTATCGTAATTACTCAGTCACTATAGTTCAAAAGTAATTCGAGCACATTTTTATTTTTTTTTTCAAAAAGTATCACGATCCACGGTCCTTCGAGCCGGATCGCAGTTTTCGAATTTCCGCGCCGGAAAATTTCACTGGGTTTTTCAACGTCAAAGACAACGCGTACACGAAAGCCGGCCAGCGACTGACAAGAATTACACTCCACCGTATTTTACCTTTCTCTAAAAGCTTAGGATGGTTGCTTTTGCGGCTTTCGACCATCTACCTTGCTCGCTCTATCTAGTCGGGAAATATCGGAAGGAGCAGCTTAAAGTATGTGTTTAGCAAAAAGGTTTTTAGAAACGATTCGGTGTGGTTGTATTTGAACAGGTAAATTTCTGTTTTGATACAGCAGGTCGGCGTGAATAATTTTTCGATGGATGGATTTCGTGTGGTACACAATTGATAAGGTTATTTGATGGTATTTACGGTTTAGTATTACTGGTTACAGGGGTAGGGCAACTAAATGTTTCTTCTTTGTAATAAATTATTATGCATCCACTTACCATAAACTGGATTTACCTATCGGTAATTCATTTTTAATTGGACATAAATCTGATGTGGTCATTAAGAATGTTCTTTGGTAATGATGGTACGTTGCAATTAAATGTGATTTGAATAATTATATTCGATGATGGATATGATATAAGTACCTATAAGTAGGTACTTCGGTAAAAAACTACAGCTTACAAAACACTTACAGCCGTATTCAACATCGTCTTTTAACTTTATGGCTGTTAAGATTTAAGCAAAATCACGTCTTCAAATTGTTTTAGTACCTCTATTTAAGTGTCCGACTAATATTAATTCGATCCGAAAGTCCACTCGTGGACATGATTCTTTTCCAAGTTCTCCATCGTGTTTTTGTAAATCAACAAACAAATGTGAAATTCTATATTTCACGTATGATTCCATATTCACAGCTTCCAGTTTCTAGATTTCCATTCCATTTTTGAGGCTACCTCTTTTCATGATCCTGTGAGATTGGTCAGATTATTGTCTTGATGCGTCTACATCCGTATCAGAATGTTCTGATTGAAAACAGTCATTAAAAGTATGCTCACTCTCATGCTCTCTACTATGAGCAAATGAGCATTCTCATAGGTCTCAGATTAATATATTGTTACGAAATTATATTGGTGCGGGGAAGCCGACGCCACTGTTCAAGACCTCTCAGCGCAAATATTCAAAAATTTCATAGTGTGATTTAAAAAAAAAGCATTTACGTGCATTATTCTAAGAATGTCTTGATTGAATGGTGTACAAAGCGCTTATTTGTGAGCTGCAATCACTAATCAGTCAGTTTCAATATCAAGAGAATTATTGTATAAAGGTGATTAGTGAATTTTGTAAGTCAAATATCCCGGACAGCAAAGAGGCATCTTAAAGACATCTCAGAGACAGGGCCGCAACTAGGGGGTGGCGAACTAGGCACCCGCCTAGGGCGTCGGAGTATCGAGGCGCCGAAGGCTCCTAATTTAATCCATCCATATTTTTCAATCCAAAAAAATGCAACGGTTTTACGCGTCATTTGTCGTAGCACGGAAATATATTTTGCTTGTGTTACATCTCTCTTTGTCAACCATCAACAATACGAATATCGATAGTAATCATATAAATTATGTAAAACACAGTGCGCGTGCAAAAGGCAGCAGCAAATTGCAATGTCTGTGATAAATTCAAGTATTGGTGACGTAGCGCCCAACATTCGTTAGCCAGAGATTAACGCGTGTTGTTTTATTCAACCGTTGAAGCAACGTTGGTAGCGTTGAGCATACGCGTTGTTAAATTCAACAAAAGAACAGTCGATGCTCCATCATAAGTGTTGTTTTTTCCATCGGCGTATCACGATGGCTACACCGTTGGAGCCACCAAGCCAACGATATTAGGAGATGGTTTTTAGCGTTGACTGTTTTATGGTATCCAAATTTCAAGTAGAGATTAGATCAAAGTTGAATAGAATAAAGAAAAATTAATTATACCTGCCAACCAAGTGGACGTCGCATTGGCCTATATGAAAACGTTGAATTTACTACGTTTGTGTATGAACGTTTATTAAAAGTTTTCTTCCCGTTGTTTTATCCATCAACTCACCGGCACAATAAGAAGCCAACAGAAATTATCTGATGACCAACAGCCAGACAACGTTACCAACAGAACGGTGAATAAAACATGCGTTTAGCTTCGAGTCGAGCTTTGATCAGACCAAACTGGGCAGGAGCACTGTGGGTGACGTAGGCGCCCTCTAGATCCTTATTTTTAAAATAGGGGAGCAGCGCTTCTAGGAGAACGGGTGTTCTGTCTTTGTTACCTCTATTATCATTTACAATATCATTGAGGAAAATGGAACATTCGTTCTCCTGGGAACGCTGCTCCCCTGTTTCAAGAATAAGGACCCTGCATGCTGCATGCATTATCTCTTTTGACTCTTTTCTATTTAGCCGTTTAAGGAAACTATAATCGGGTTAACCCGATCAGCAGCTGAATGTTTTCTATCTTTCCTTAATTGAAAAAAGACAAAATACGTCTGCTGGCGATCGGGTTAACCCGATCATAGTTTCCGTAAACAGATTTTACTTTAACAATAGCTTCGTTCGCGGTAAGGATTCTGAACTAGTTCGAAACTGTTTCGCATGCGCAGTTCAAGTAATGGCGTTCGCGGATAACAAAATGCTAAACTTTTAGTTACGGTTCTGGATTCGCGAAGATCAACCAGAATCGGTTCGGAACCATTTCTGCACCAGTTCTAGCGGTCCTAGGATTTTAGCAAGAACTTCAGGATTGACACATAACGTTCGTTTACGTATTGACAGTCTAGAGAATTCGTTCCAAAACTGTTCGCGATAAAATAATGGCGGTTTCCATTTGTTGCACGGAAGTGCACTGAGTACAATTCTCACATTTCATTTGACTGCACATTATCAGTTTTTATTTTCCATTTGAAATACATAAAGCCCTACAACTTTCATGTTTAAAGTTTTTTTCCACCTCGTATAGCTAAAGCTGTAGGTAGGGGTCAAAATATAAGGAAACACCCGTTCATAAATTGAAAAATTTCTGCTATTTCCAAAGAAAAAGCTGTAGTACTTTTGGATTTATTATGTAGCATCAGCGAAAATGAATCCGATGATGAAATTATATTATTTGAATGAATTCTACAGCTTATCTAGGTTATTTTTAGATATACATATTATTTATTGGTTTAAAAATATTGTCTGATGAATAACTCTAAATTATTTATAGATAGACCAATTTCTTTTAAATTTAACGGCGGGTGGAACCGCGGGGAAGAAGCTGTTATGTTATGTTGAACCATTGATCTAAATTTGTGAGATGACTTCTGCATTGATTCTAAAATTAATTCCAAATGTATTCAAAAAATTTCAAGCAAAAACCAAAGCATCAAAAAATATATCGATTGTTACTTTTGAGAAGGCGGTGGAGGGGCGCCAAAATTTGGACTTGCCTTGGGCGCCGAGGGTTCTAGTTGCGGCCCTGCTCAGAGACGTCGTATGTTATAAAACCCAACGTCTTTCAGACGTTTGCCTAAAGACGTCTTTAGGACTGATATTTCATTATTATGCTTGGAAATTCTGAATTGAATTTTAAGTAGTGATTCCCACGAGAGTCTCGTTTTCGAGAGTCTCGCATGGTCTCGTCTCGTTTTCGAGACGAGACTCAGACTGTCTCGGACAAGACGAGACGAGACTTTTATTGGTCTCGTCTCGAGTCTCGTGCGAGAGTCTCGTGTCTCGTGCAAAAGTCTCGCAGGTGAATATTTCTGCGTGCAGACAAAGAACACATATGATGTAAATATATGCAGTAGCCGGACTTTCGCGAAACCGCCTACCCCAGTTCATTGCCTACCCCTCCCATCAGAGCTCTGTTGGCAGTGGCCACACACACCACAAAATATTTTTTATTTTATGTTTTCACATGACGCAATATTTTATAATTAGGTGCGTTAAAATTACCGCCATCCTGGGGGGGTTTATTTGAAATTGATGCAACTTGGCGCACACGCAAAAATGACGCAAATGACGTCAGATGCGAATGAAAAAGTGGATGTCAAATAAGCCGTGCACCAATTTTCAATCACGAATGACGTCATTTGCGTGTTCGCAAAGTTGCACCAATTTCAAATAAAGCCCCCCCAGACCTATGATTTATAATTTTCTGTTATTTTAACAGCAACGTTAAGTTATCTGTCACTTATTCTACACGTAAAAATAGAGACAGGTATAGACTTTGAGCTATAACATAATACTGTATTCCTTTTATACACTGTCGCTCTAGAGCTCCTCGGAGTAACTCCAAAACATACAATTCGGATGTTATAGACTAAATCACGATAGAAAGTGAAGTTGACAGTTCGCGTTGACATTTTTAGTAAACTTTTTCTTTAGGTTGTCAGCATGCGTTAGCGCTTCGATTCCGTCAGCTGGGATAAACGACAGGGTCGTATTCAGAAAAGTGATATACATTTCCGAATAAAAATTTATTTTCAATTTCTTTAAAGGAAGTTAAGTTATTAAATCCAAAAATCCTAAAATTAGAGTCCAAAGTAAACACTTATAATAAGAGTAAACACTTAAATCCATACTAAAACCAGGTTTGAAACGCAACACCGAAACACAAAGGCACAGAACACTACATAAAAAACCAAAAAACCGATTGCGATAATAAAAAATAAAAAAATAATGCAGAAAATGGCAAAAAACTGGAAGATTTCACACAAAAATTCGAAATTCAAAATTCAAAGATCCGAATCTGTTATTTTTATGTGTCAAATCAAAATGTCATGTATCATTATTTGATAGTTGTCAGAAAAAGGGACAGATCTGGGGATTTTATTTATTTTCAGCTGGTGAAAATAACGGTCAAAATTTAAACTCTCTCGTGAATATGACTATACCTAAAAGGGCTTCTTGCACCCCGGCAAATTTGATGAATCAGGGAAAAGGGGAATGCACTATGAGCGAGTCGAGTGCTTAACGCACTCTTAAAAGAAACGTTCAATCTTTTGACATTGAGCCGCTCCGAGTAACTCAACGGGTAAAAGAAATACAGGGCAGAGTCCCTTTTCAGTGACGAATTTTAAATACATAATCTTATTTTTCAACAGTTGTTGTGTTTCTT